TTGGCTACCTTTGATGACAAGTGGAGGTTCCTCGAGCAGCGTAGGCCTCGACCTCTCCTTGAAGACAGAACGGTCGATATTTTGAGTCTTTTGATTAGATCTGGGGCAGACCCAGAAGCAAGAGCAATGAATGAGGATGGATCATCGGTTACGGTGATGGATCTGGCATTGGCGCATGACTCTCCGACTCTGGTGAAAGAGCTGTCACGCTACGGTGAGGCTGTAGCCGACGACGACTCTCGAAATGAGGGTCAGACTCAAGTGAAGAAAGAAGACGAACTATATAGCCTCATTGATAAAGCTTGCAATAGCGAAGCGCCAAACCTTCACTTGATCAAGACGCTCATTGAGACGAACGGATTGGACGTGAACAAAATGAAAAACGCAGTGCATTCTCTCAGCTTGGGAGATCATTTTTGGCAGATTGAAGCGCTCCAATATGTTTTATCGCGCAGCGCAGATGTAGCGTTCCTAAATGCATCAAAAAGGACACCACTTTTGTCCGCACTTATGCCCTATGATCCTCCGCGATTTTGGAGCGAAGCGACAATTCGAATCCTGCTTGAGCATGGATCCAACCCCAACCAAAAACATGTGAGGCGCGATGGCTTTAGCCAATCCTGCCTAGAGCTATCGAACGATGTTAAAGTTACCCAATCCCTTCTCGAGTTCGGGGCGGATTTATCCCAAAGTCCAGGTGCTTTGGACCATGCCATAGCGGAGTTAAATGATCCAGCCATGGTAAAGCTCTTGCTTGAGAAGGGGGCAGATGCCAATATACTATCTGCAGATGGTATTTATCCACTACATCGCGCCGCTTGTCCCAATATGAGAGTCGATGAGCGTTGGACTACTCGCCAGCCCCCAGTAATGAAGGCTCTCCTAGAATATGGAGCGGACCCCCTTAAACTATACGACGATGGTCGCCACGTTCTCCAAGCATGTATCGAGGAACATGGTATTACGACTCCTCTCTTAGAAATGGAGGCGCTAGACCTTGAGTGCAGGGGCAAAGATGGGCGGACGGCTTTAATCTCAGCCTGCATGCCGTCCCTCCTACCACATCAAGGGGGGCCAGTCAAAAAGCAGCGCAGTACTCCTCAGCCCGAAGTTGCCTTGGCATTACTGAAGCGTGGGGCGGCTGTCAACGCATTAGATGATACGGGTAGAAGTGCCGTTCACTGGCTCTGTACCTTTAAAGATGAGCCGTTCGGTGTTATCCACAAGGACCTTCTCGCTACACTCGTTGCTGCTGAGCCCTCTCTAGTTCATGTAACAGATAAGGAAGGATACAAGCCTCTCCACCTAGCTTTACAGTCAGGCCAGACGGCCGTGTTGCAGTTCTTGATAGAGAAAGGCGCGGACCCCGGCGAGCCAAACCCTGACGGCAATACAGCTCTCCACGAATACGCACGCCAGCTCATTGGTAAGAAGGCTGCGGTTGCCGAGGCGGTGCGTATTTTCAAAGGCTTGCTCGAAATGGGGCTTGATATCAACGCCCGGAATCATCGAGGCGAGACGCCGTTGCACGTTTTCATGGCAACAGGATGGAAAGCCGATTACCAATGGTCAGACGAGGTCAAATGGAGAGGACGGGTAAGCAGTCGAAGCGAACGCGACCCGCGGGAGCTCGTTGGCCACGACGACGAGGAGATCTGGGAGATATTCAGGGGCTCCGGCGCCGACTGGAAGACGAGGGATAACGATGGCGCCGGACTACTTCACGTCGTTGCGGGGAGGAAGATCGTGTCGGACTTTTCCTCGTGGGAAAGGAATCAGCGAGAAGATAGCGAGCGGGCGTTTGAGAAGTTGATGGAAGAGATGGGCTTGGACCCTCGACTAGAGGATGCCCAGCTTCGCACACCAATTGATTTGGCGGTTGTACGTGGGAATAAGGGCATTGTGGCGCTCTTCGGTGACAAGAATAAAGATACGGGTAGGCGCACCCGGGGAGAAGATGACGTAGACCAACACACACGACGCAAACGAAGACTGTAGATCAAGACGAGGGTAAAAAGACGAGTATGTAATGTACAGCGAGGCTACGACGTACAAACCCCTTTCTTCTTGAAGCTAGGGAAGTATGAGGCGAAGAGATAGTTATTATCATGACCCCAATTAGAATAATATTTAGAGTAATACCCCTATTTTTGAAAATGATTACGACCAGTATGGCTCCTATAACGTCAATCTTAGATCCTATAAGGCTTACCGCGGTCTCCGGATCGATAAGTTGACTCCCGCACGAAGATAAGGGGCGCTAAGTTGCGTCGTATGTCAAGGATCTCGGGGTACTGTGTGCGAGTAGTTATTCACTATGCCGGCGTTCCATACAGCAACATCAGTCACGCCTCCTAGAACTTCCGAGATAAGGCAACCGCATATGCAACCGGTCAGCAAACTCTCCGCTGTTTGCAACGAGCCCCTCCAACGGCTGCTTTCAATATGACTGCTCACCAACCAGCGAACTCAAAACCACTCACAAGATTGCCGGTGATCGTCTTACTCCTCAGTCAGAGCCGCGAATACGTGCCGGCCTCTTGCATAGAAGATGTAAGTGGAGGTTAGACCTACATTCTACTCGCACGCCTTAAGCCATCTACCCCTCCTACAAACGCCATCGTTGCATCAGGCATCGGCCCCCACTGGGCCGACGGGTACGCAGTGCGTTCGAGCCTCTTCTACGTATGCAAGTTCCCGTTGAAAGAAGCCGAGTCCATTGTGTTCTCTTGACAAGTTTTACATGATATATATACATACATGTCCTCTAGCTCTCGGCTCGAACCCAGCTACACCATTCTCAGACTTACCTACTTACCTACATGCACATATTCTATCCCCGACCCACGACACAGACCTCCCACAGCATACCTCACCAATCCTTCTTGCTTCCTTTCCGGCTAAACCAATAATTATCGCAAACCGCCCTTTCGCCAAGCTCATTATGAAGCTCACTACAACTTTCCTCGCCGCGTTGGCAGTGCTTGCACCTCTGGGGAACGCCGGACCGGCCGCATATGGTCTGTGTCAAGCCGGGTGCGCGTCCGTCGTGACGGCTTGTTACGCCGCAGCAGGATTTACCTGGGGAGCAACGTTAGGCGCGTCGGCACCTGCGAGTATCGTTGCCTGCAATGCGGCATTCGGGACATGCCAAGCCGCATGTGCGGCCATCGCTCTCGCGCCAACACCTTGAGTATCGAGACAGACGTGTGTAAGCCCCCTTATCTACTGCATGTCAGAGATGGACTCGAGCCGCAGACTGATTACTGTCAGCATGCAACATGAATCGATCCATGAAGTCTGCTACGATGGATAGCTGATGTTATGCTATCATAGCCACTATTGCAACTAAGTGTTGCGCAGGTCGTTTCATAAATGTTGCTTAGCGATTTATGCACCTCAATGCCAGCCTCATGGGGTACGAGCTTTTCGGATGAACTCCAACACAAACGACGCTCGTTGTATGATTTGAGTACTAGATATCATGATACTGAATGGATAATGCATGGTCAACCGCTCAACCTGACTACTTGTTCCGAATCCCCCAACACCAATAATCGAACCTCGGCTCCGAGTCACTGCCTTGTAGATTAGCCCTCTAGTCGTATACCTTGGATGCCGCAGCTCTAATAGTTGCGATAATCCCTTGTTTAAAGCAAAGGTTATTGTAATTCCGTGACTCATACATCTACTAAGCTAAGTCGCTGCTTAGGGAATGCAAGCCCCCCTCCCCCCTCAACCCCTACCCCGATGAGGCTCGAAATATGAGTTCCGATGATATTAGTATACCAGAAATGGAAGTCAACGTAAGAGCCTTCCTTTTTCAACTAATTGATCAGATTAATATGTCATGAATTTAATGACACATTTCGGTATATATGGAATTGTAAACGTCGACAAATTAATTCAATGTGTATAAACCAATAGAGACGGTGCCATGAAGGCCGCGGCATGAGGCACGCCATTTTCTAGGATATCAGCCTAGAAATCGGCATCTGAGAGAGATACTCTCCGTGGTAAGCTGCATTTGAGTGACTCTCGTCGTACGGCATACCATCTCACTCAGCAAGGGCCGGAGGTTCCAGGACCAATGTGCCGACGATTTACCAAGCTCATCCCACCGCGGCGCGCGCCCGTGATGTTCGACTGACTACGGAGTGACGGAGTCTTCTGGTTGCTACAACCGGCAACACCGGAATGATGCGACAGCAGAAAAAGAGCCTCCATATTATTATCCGCGGTGGCGGTGTAATATATAAGACAGAGTTTAGAAAAATCCTTGTGGTAGACTAAGACAGCAGCGCTATGGATGATCATGCATGAAGATAGTGAGACTGCCGACCATCCTTGAACTCTAAGCCACGTCGACGAGAGCGTCCACAGCCCTAGACTTTTGTGTCTCTATATTTACATACCTATTCTAAATGTTAACCACATCTACACCATTAGCGTTGATGGTATGCCGATATTCTCCACTGAGCCAATGAACTGCTTCACAATAGAACTCAGCTTTTCGAGTTGCAAGGTGCACTTTCTCTGTTGTTCAGCTATATATATATATTTCGGACCCTAAGTCAGAATCAATCGTAATAGTAGAATAAATAACCATAGTGCGACAAATTAATCTAGAGATGATACTACTTCCCAAGGAACTACATCTAAATAAACATAGAAGTGAACCAAGAATATCCGATAGAGCACTCAATTATAGACAGAAAACGTACTACCCGTTGTCTATATTCATCATACTTGTCTAGATACTATATATAAGCTCGACTCGCCTTCTCGTCGACTAGTGAGCTAACGGGATTTAACTAGCAATTCAAAGTTGGCAAAGGAGAAACCGGCTGGCTAGGCTTATTATCATCGCGTTTGCCGGTAACTATTATAATAATATTAGAGTGGCCGGGATAGACTAAATCGAAACTAGGCAACACTAATTATTCAGTTCATCAAGAAAAAAAAACCGAAAAAAAAAACCCCCCTCTAGGGTTCAAAATTGTTTCCGCCCGGGATTGAACCGGGGATCTCCTGTGATCTTAGATGGAAAGATTCCCTTTGTAAGACAGGCGCCCTAACCACTAGGCCACGAAAACACATTGGTCTGAATTATGTAATTCGTCAATTGTTGAGTTGCGGCTCGTTTGGAAAGCTATACATTTCCCAAACATGTATTAGCAACGTCAAGTGTAAGAGAATGTATTAGTCGTATAAAGGTGTAAAAAGAACAACTTTAATATCATTGTAGATAGCGATTCTAAAATAACCCAGTAGATAGGGCGGGGGATAGTAATCAAAACCAGATAGTCTTTCTATTTCACCTATCGTTTCCAGAGTAAGGAATGAGTAGAATTCGCAGGACATTAATATCTTTTCGTGATGTTGTGGCGAACAAGGCTATATGTATCTATTGTGGTGAGAGAACAGAACAAGAAAATCAAACAATAGCCCTTGTGTTGTCATGTTATAGGAGTCAAAAGCACCTAAGTTGAAATATTGGTGCCGGGGTTCTATCATTTTAGTGGTATCATGAATAAACATTATTTCTCGTGAATCTTTTTAGAAAGACCAAAGGCTGCTGCGGCCAGTCTCAGCATCACATAAACAAATAATTTTTCACTTGGTCCTGATAGGCCTAGAATCAAGAATGGTACCATTTAATTATGTGTCATGTCTCTAACTGCTTGTCTCTAGACTAGGTCACATGTCTATGAGTTGTATGCCAACAGTCAACCCTAAGTAATCCCCGCTTCAGAAACTGGATCTATAGAACCAGTGTCTTATCTACCGGGCAGGTAGGTACATACTTCCAGCATGTTCGTGTACCCATACCTTAGGATGTATCCTCTGCTAGAACCAGCTGGCGCGTTGTATATATGTGGTCTCCTCCCCACTTGCACCTTCTAATGTTTCCTCCCCCTTCCTCAAGTACGTTGCGGCTTCCCTCCCCTCTTCCTGATTAATTCTACTTATTGCCAACATCCATCTCAACCTCTTGCGTTCTTCTCTCGCATTGGCTATCTTGTCGTCTCCACTGCCTGACTTGTCTTCACTTCCGCCTCGTCGTGGTTGGCATCACTTATTGTATTCTTTGTACACAATACTCTCGTTAAGAGGCAGTAACGATGGCAAATATACCTGATCTACGCGACGTGGATACTGGATTCCGCAATGAAGTCATCGACCAGCTTCTAGTCTCTGTAGACTGTGGGAAAGACTTCAAAGCTTATCTCGGACAGTTCCTCGCCAATACCACCGCCAAAACCAACCATAAGCACTTGGCCTATCACCTCTTCTGTACTGTACGTACTATCCTTACTTTCTGCGTGCTCTTCGTGTGGTCCTAGGAGCGAACTAAGTTGTACAGGTTACTCTTTACGTGTCTAAGCAGACCACTCTCGATGAGGAACAAATGACCGTTTTATGTCGAAGTACGCGTTGCCAAGTCCTTGCTTCTGAACTCTATACGAGGTTTCAGCATTTCTTGTATTACCGAGCATCGCTGTTTATGATGATCACTAACTTTATCCTCGCACAGTCATTGAACAGCTAAGACGAGAGTGGAGTGGTGATGATGTTTCATCCGAGGACCCTAATGTGCCACCTTGCACTAGAACTGCGGATAATGGTGGCGTGTGCCCTAAGAAAAGTCTTCCATCGACGCCGCCGCGTGCCGAACCTGAACGTGCAGGAGATTCTATCGTCAAGAATTCTGCGGGAGATGATATCGAAAATATCTGCGAAGCGCTTGATCGTACCAACATCGGCCGTTCTGCCACTCCCGATAATTTCGTACGAGGGGCTATAAAGCACACACTAACAACCCCCAACTTTCATGAGGCTATTACGCCAGAAGAGACATCCGACTTGAAGTCCCAATATCCGTTCGGACACCGACTCATGACCAAGCAAGGATGGTCGCATCAGAGCGGCCTTGGCCCCGACGGATCCGGAATCCAACGACCTATTGATGCAGATATCATGGCTCACATTTTCAAAGAGAACGAGTCTTCTGCTGGGCCAGCATCCACGCCGAAAACCGGCAGCAAGGCACGTGCGGATGATAGTTCCATGAAAAAGAAAGGGAAGCAGAAGGAGAATTTAACTGGTACGCCACCGGCCTGGAATCAATATGCGGCAGATCCAGATTCAGGCGACAAGAGAGTCAAAGAGGGTTATAGGTATAAGAGCAATGCCTCCAAGACGGGAGCCACTCGCCGATCATACGCCTCAACCAACGCAAATCTCAAGACTATTGCACATACTCAATACGTCATCAACGACAGTTGGACGGACGCGCTAAATCCCAAGTGGACCCATGGTATTCAAGATGATGTGCCACATGAGGCTCTGGAGGAGACGGAAACCGAACCTTCTGAAAAGACCGGCGCCTTTGTGCCCGACTGGAGAAACTCGGACGGCTGGTAGCCCTGATTTATTGTGTCACATCCCTAAAGGTTTTTCAGATCAAAAGCTCCATACTACAGTACGGACGATACACTGAAACAATCTTCCGCTCAGCTATGGAGAGACAAATTGTCAGGACCTCGTTGCGGATCTCCGAAACCTTGGGCAAATGTATAGCTGTGTCTTGAATGCTTGTTATTGCACAAAGATACCTGAACCTGTTATTACCGTTGGCTGATTCTATGCACAACATGCCTCTTTTGTTTAGCGCGACCGGAGATGGTTATGGCCCTGGGTATTGATCGCAACAAAAAGAGGGAGCAAGGGGGAAATTGATGTCAGACCTGGTCTTCAGGCAATGTGGTGGCAATAAAGAGTGCTATTCTTGTCAGATGTAGCATCTCTAGATAGCTTAGTCATGGCAAACTCTCGCGCTATTTGTTTTAAACTGAGGCCAATCAAGTATCTTCGGCAGTGACGGAATCTTACGTCTATGCGTACCTAGGAGTATGTTGGTCATTGTTTGATAAGTACAGAATACATGACGAAACACCTAATATGTTTCACTTGTTCTTAGGAGGTGGATCGCCGATACAAGTAGGCGTTTATTTTGAGGAAAAAAGGCACTCATGGTTCATTTATGTCAAGAGCTCTAGTCTAGGGGTAGGTGATGACTACTGTTGTCGCGCGAAGGTCCTCTGATTACCTTCCTAGGTGCCATCTGCCTATATACAGGAACAGTATTCTTTGTCTATATGCTCCGTGATAGTCCCTTCGGTGGTTACGTTCTCTAACACTTTCTATGTAATAAGGCGGTGATATTGCCACTGCTATTTAAATATGTTCTGTTTGCATCGCGCGTCCAATAAGATATCGATATTTCCCGGTTATATGGTGTTCACCCCGGATATTACTCTTAGTCTCGTAATTAGTTGAAGATAGTTTGTTCAATATCGGGCTATGCGAAACCAGTGAAATCTATGTAGTTATCTAGTAGTTACATCGAGTAAAAGTGATTATATGTATGGCTCTTACAATCTCCCCTTTGATCTATTCATTGCTGCTCCATTCCCATCTCTCTCTCTTCAGATCTACTGACGAGACTTTCGATGGTTTATTCATTTTCCTTCTCGGCTTGCCTTCTGGCCTTATCGGCTTCTACTCTCCACTTGCCGCCAAACCGCCACTGGATTACCACACCTGTGAAAGCGACGACCTGCGCCGCGATGGCGATGGTGAATGTCCATCCCACACCTACCGCATCAATAATGATTGTGACAATGCTCGTGCCCCCAGCCGCGAGAAGGCATCGTGCAAGATTCACACTCGCGCTTGACGCGGCCTTCTGCTCGGGGAAAATGTCTATTAGATACGTTGTGACGACCGAGACGATCGAGACCACCGTCCAGCCTGTGAAGAAGGTGGTGATGATGGGCACGGCGATATGGACGCGATACTGGGTGGTCCAGCCAAATGTGACAATGGACGCACACTGGAGGAACGCGAGTATGGGAAGCAAGCGCAGTCGTGCTTTTTCCAGAGGAAACTCAGGATCGTCGTGTTGTGTGTCGGGTGAATGTGCACTTCCTGTTTCTAGCTCGGTTCCGGGTAAGTTGGCTTCGTACTTGATTTTGACGCGCCTATACTCTGCGTCCAGTATCCTGCCGGTGATTAGGGTCCCGATAATCGACCCCACGCCGTTTGCAATGAAGGTCAGGCCAATCTGTGTTTCGCTGAGGTTGTAGCGTTGCTCGAAAAGCACCGACATTGCCGTGATGCTCATTTGCCAGACAGCATAGTATATAGCAAGGAAGAGGATGAGTGATACCGATTGCTTGCTGAAAAGTATGCGGAACGGTCCGATGACGTCGAGTTTGGCCCTCTTGGCAGCTCGTACTGGTTGAGCTTGTGGAGTGAACTTTATCGTGGTGAACTTCTGATAGAGGTTCAAGGGGTATTTGGTGATTGGGTTCGATGACTTCACGCTTCCATTCCCAACGTCTGCTCGGAGGGTTTCCGGCAGCGAGAATACTAGAAACACTAGAAATACACCACCATATATTGTCAAAAACCAAAAGATGGATCTCCATCCTAACGAGGCCGCTAGAGCTCCTCCAATGACCGGTCCTACTGCCACTGGCGCCAGTAGACCAGCCTGAAAGATGCCCATGTACCCGCCGCGCTCTTCACGGGTTGTGATGTCTCCAATCACTGCCGACCCAACAGCGATGGTACTAGCACTCCCAGAACTCTGGAGGCTTCGCAATATGACGAGGGTAGCATAGTTTTTCGTTTCGGCTAATCCTACACAAGCGCCTAAAAATACTAAGAACGTAAGGAAATATGCTACACGACGCCCTCGGACATCTGACAGCGGACCCCAGAGACTTGGGGCTATGCCTTGGAATATTAAATAGGACGTGACAGTGAGGTTGATGAGCTCGACTGAGACTTTTAGGTCATCGGCGATCGTCGCAAGTGCGGGAAAGTATATGTTAGAGGCGAAGCCAGAGACTGGTCTTCGTTAGCTATCGTCGTCGTCCATGCTAGTAGTAGCTCTTCGTAGTGGTGCCACTTACACGTAGCGGCGGTTGCGACAATAAACGTGATCAGCCCCTTTTGGCGCCTGTCAAAGATACTATGTGGCTCCGCAGCCACGGCGCTAGGAGGAGATTCATTATTTACAACT